GTCTGCCCCCCCCCCAGTAATTTTTTAATACCCCCCCCCCCCACTTTAGGAAAATCCTGGCTAATCCTATGATTCAGATTAGATGACTTTCCGATTGTTAGTACAATTTATATTATGTGATAAATTTTTATTTTACTATTCTAATTTATATTTTTTAATATTTATATGTACTTCATATTTGGATAAAAATAATATAATGTAATGTAATATAATATAATATCAATAAACTTTACAAAATAAAATTGCTCATCCATTATGGTGGAAAGGTATTTTTTAAAATTATTTCCCTTAGAAATGCTTTTGTAATTAGATATAAATCAAGATTCGTAGATGTTGTTACTGAAATAATACCAGATACTCCAAAAGGCCATGTATACGATTCAAAACCAATTAAATTTACTTTTCAACAGGGTAAGGTATATAATTGGTGTGTATGTGGATTAAGTCATTCTCAAATTTATCCATAAACACATCTGTGATTTTTAACAATAATGATATTCACCTTCATCTTAAATATGAAAAAAATTCCTAATCCATGAGCCTACCAGACCTCGGCACAGCACCTACCAAATGCAACTGCCCATTATGCAATAAACTTATTAAGGTAACCAAATTGGGGCTATTGCCATCTCATAGTAACCATAAAATAAAGTGTCCTCAATCTGGGCTACCCATCTTATCACCAGCAATTCCTAGAACTCTTAACGCCTTCTCTGCCCTTGCCCTCACAACTAAACAACCCATAGTCACCATTCCCACATCATTGACTGATGTGCTCACTTACCCAATAATCCCTACCTTCACTGTCACAAATGCTTCGACGTTCGACCCAGCCTACTCAAATGTAGAAATATTTCTAACTACACCAAAACCATTTGTAATTTCACGAATACCTAAAGGAGAAAGGCTTCAAGTTGCGAGACACCTGTCAAAAAACTTGACTTCCTTGTTAAATAATTATTCTTCTGTAAGACACTGGCTAGACACCCTGTCATTTGCCTTTACTACCTTACAAGTTCCTGATCCTACCAGCAAAAAATCCCTGACCCAACAAATTAAGGATGCTACTATCTACCCCTTACCCATCAATCACCTTACCACATCTTTTACGAGTGACGACACAGATAAAAATAGAAATCACAAAAATGACCTGCTCACCAAGACCAGGCTAATATTTAAAAAATTGGATAACCTGAATGTTAAATCCGCCATACGTCTGGCAACCTCCGACAATAAACTGGCTCCCTATGACTTAGTAACTTATCAGCCCCTTCTCCTAAAACACCAATCACACGATTTTAAAAACGAAATACCGACTTACCCTGAAACTCCTCTAATTGCGGCCACTTATACCGCAAGCCACGTTAGAAAGGCTATTCTCTATTTCAAACGCGATTCCTCACCTGGGTTCGATGGGTTTCGCCCAATATTCTTACAAGACCTAACCGCACCTTACATAACACAACAATGTGACGTTCTAGAAAGAATTACCCAATTAGTCAACCGTATGGTTACTGGAGGCTTACCACCCGCCATTATTCCACTGCTATACGGAGCTAAACTCATCGCTCTCCATAAACCCAATAAAGATATTCGCCCAATCGCTATTGGAACCACTTGGCGCCGATTAACTGCCAAACTTGTAATTAGCAGATTATTGTTCACAATATCCAATCACCTTTGCCCGAATCAATTAGGAGTCAACGTAAAATGTGGATGTGAGGTATCCCTTCACATGACCCGGATGTACCTACAAACGGATCCCACCAACGATATCCTAGTCAAAATAGACTTCTCGAACGTCTTTAACTCTCTAAGGCGTGAAGACAAAAGCGAATATTGTCCTCTTGGAATCATTGACCTTAACCACGATACTATGTTCAATCATACACCATTGAACGTTTTAACACATCTCGGATCTCCAGCAGGTAAAGACGAGTCCTTTACCAAGTTCTTTGCCTATATCCTACGAGAGATATCCCTTATGCGAGATACACTATTTCGCCTCCCAGCTCACCAAGCTTTCTTCTTATTAAAGAACTACCTTTTAATTCCAAGAATTTTATATACACTTCGAGCGTCTCGGATTTTTCAATATGACGTCAACCTCGCTTCACATGAACTGGAGATTAAACGCCTAACAGAAGATATACCCAATCTTAAATTTGGGGAGTTATCATGGCTACAGGCTACCTTACCAACCAAATCCGGCGGTATTGGTATAAGGTCACCTTCCCTACTTTCTGTTAGTGCGTTCATAACCTCTCACTTGTCCTGCGAGCCCATCATTCAAACGCTAACAAAACATCCTGACCCCTTACTCCAACAGGCAATTGATCTATGGAAGTCCCTCTCATTAGTCGATCCTCCATCGTCGGCATTACAGAAGGATTGGGATAAACCCCTAGTTGGCAACTCCGTTGCATTCCTTAAATCGAGGAGCCAACCAGAGGACCATTCTCTACTCTTCTCCATTTCCGAAGGTAGTGGATACGAATTTCTTGAAGCCTTCCCATCCCAAACCTTGACCAGCTCCTAAGCAATGATGAGTTACGTCACGCCATAGGTCTTAGACTGAATTGCGATATGGTAATACCTTATAACTGTATCCTCTGTCAAACGTCGGTCAACTCCAAAGGCCGTCACTCTCTACACTGCAAGCGCTGTAAAGGCAGATTCATTAGGCATTCAAAATGCAACGATACCATTGCCAGGGCCTTAAAATCCGCTGGCATACCATCAACCCTCGAACCTACTGGCCTTTACAATTCAGATAGTAAGCGGCCCGATGGTTCGACTATGATCCCTTGGAAGAGGGGGGAATTCCTAACTTGGGATTTCTCATGCATCGATCCTCTTGCCCCTTCCAATATAAATAGAGATGCCATACTAGATGCCGAGGCGAATAAATTAGCTAAATATTCACCAACTCTACCCGCCAATTATACATTCCTACCATTAATCGCCACAACCTTAACGTCGTTCGGCTCTCATGCCCTAGACTTCTTTAAAGAGCTAGGAAAACGGATCTCTGCTAGGACCGAGGATCCCAATGAGGGATTCTACCTACGCCTACGATTAGCCATAAACATAGTAAAATACAAATACCTCAGCTTTATTTTTTCAATATCCGAAACGCCGTAATTGAACATCCTATATGCATAGTATAGACTTTGGCCATTTTGTTGCATATTATTATAATGTTAGCGCTAAATTTATATTAATTTATAATTAATCTATGTTATTTTATTAATTATTTTACTAATAATGAAATATTACTTATTTAATTTATATTATATATTGATTTATTAATTCCTATTTCGTTATTACCATATATTTTTTTAAAAATATTTTATATAAATTTTTTAAATGTATAACTTGGAATTAATATATTATCATTTTTTTCAAAATTTATTATTTATAATTAATTTATAAAATTAGATCTTTATTGAAAATAAAATTATTTAAAATGTATATATATATAGATACATTTTTTATTATAAAAAAAAAGGATAAAATATGATCATAAAATTTAATTATTCTATTTATAAAATTTTAGAAAAATATGCATACGGGCTGTAGATTTGACACTAATATAAAGGAAACTACAAATGTAGAAAACAACAAGATTAAAAGATGGTTTTAAGTTTATAATTCATAATTCATTGAAGATCTACAGTTTCTATTTTTTGGAATTCATTTACGGTATAAGAAAATTGTATTTTAATAAGATAAAAAAAATTAATAATATCACAGATGAAAAATTAATGGAAAAGATATATTTTAACTATTAAGAAATAAGAAAACAAAACCAAAATTAAAATGTTAAAGTCAGATGATATAGAAAATTAACTAAAAATAAAAATTTTAACATATTAACATTTAGAAATAAATCATAAGATTAAATATGGGACACGCTTTATACAAATTGCTCTAATTTTTTTGAAATCAGGAGAAGAAATCATAGATAAATTTTATATCAAAAATATTACAATAATAAAATTAATATGTGAAGAATTTAGATAGAATCCTCTATTATATATTATTACCATGATGTATTTAGACAGAATTTTCTATTATATATTATTAGAATAAGTCATAATTTCTTTTCTTTTATTTTTTATAAATTATTATTATCCCTTTTTAAACCAAAAAAAACTCCTTTTATATCTTTTTTTTTGACAATAAAAAAAATAACCAATTATGTGAAATACAAATTGATATAAAAAAATGTTAATATAAAATTTTCACCGAAAGGTATAACAAACAAAATCATATTATAAGGTATAACAACAAAATCAGATCATTTAACAACTTATAATTACTATAACAATTATTGAATAAATATTATTATAATAAGAATCAATATTACTATAAAAAACTTATTTTGTCTTTTTTAAATTGTTTACTTAATAATTTTTTTAAATTTTATTTTAATATAAATTTTAATATGCTATTTTAAAATATAAATATAAATTATCAGCATTAAAAAAATTGTAAATTAAAATTAAATATTTCCGGTGGATGGGGGAATTTTTTAGGTAAATGATGCTTACTACCAAGTGAATGTATGGAAATATTTTAAATACCAATCTAATTTGCTAAATACCGACCAAAATTTATTAAAATGTAATAAGGATTTAATATATTAATACGGAATCACGTGGTCGAGTCCGGCCTTCTATATATCATCCCTCCAAGGATGGAACCACCAAGTTAGAATAAGAAAAAAAACATGATAACCCAGAAGAATAGGATAAGTAAGCCAAGCTCTTGCCTACTAGGCCATAGAGGCTTTCCAAAAATCACGATTTTTCAAATATATATTATAAATATATTTGGTAGTGCCTATCCAAATGAATAATTAACAAAATTCAAATTTGATAGATGGTATCTTAAGGTACCAAGCATCATTAACCAATTTTTTGTTTTTAAATATAGCAGCTATCATATTTGATCTATCTGTCGATCATGTTATCCTGTTTATTTTATGTACGGCGGCGAAATTTAATTAATTTTTTTTTTCAATTTCACAATTTTAAGATGAAATGAAAGAATGCTTTCCAATACGTCGCTTAATCATAATTGGATTTTTAATTATATTAACGTAATTTATTTTTAATTAATATTAATTCTTCAAAATAATATAGATTAGCGATTGCATTATTTTTTATTGAAAATAGTTTTATTGATTACACCTTAAAATGGTTTAAAAACAGGAATATACCATATACTTTAAGTAACTTTTTTTGTTTCTTCATTAAATTACATTTTTTTAGACCAAAATTATTTAAATCAAACACAATGTGATCAATTTTTGCTTCAAAAAGACTTTCCATGTTTGGAGTGTAAACTTTATCAGAATGATGTAAATTTTCTTTAAAATAAATATCTAATTATTTAATTATTAACAGTCTATTGCACCATTATGTGGTCATATGGAATATTTTCAAAAAATATATTGTAATAACACTAGCTACCATTATAAAAAGTAAATTATATATCCTTTGTTATTTCCTTAAATGATAAATATTTACAAGATGTCTTAGTCCAAAGTATCAAGAAACAAAACAATTTTGGACTTTCGAGTGTTGCATGATATTGCTATCATTCTTCACATATATATTATATAGAATTAAACAATGTCAAATTGAAGTTATAATAAATCGAAAATTTGAAAGATTACTTAATCCTATTAGCTAAATTATTTATAACACAAATTAATATGATTCATATATGGCATATATTTATTTATATCATATTTGTATACTAAATAAATAACTAGAAAAGCATTATCAAGTTTTAACCTAAATCAAATAAAATACCTTTATTATTCATATTTAACACTTATGTTGTTATACAGATACAATGAAATATTATTTATTTAAACATAATTTAGAAAGATGTTGCCCTTTCAATCAGCTCATTAAATAAATATACTAAATAATTTAATTTAAAGATTTTTATATCATAAAAAATTTACATTTTATTTTAAATAATTTAAAAATAAAAAGTGTTTTATTTGGTTGTTATAACAAAATTCACAATTGGGAGGCAAATTTAAAAAAAAACACTTGTGAAGAATTGAAAAACAAAAATCACAAATTTATCAGTAATGTCTGATAAGCAATTCTATATATGCATTAACAATATGTACTCTATATGTTAATTTTTTTAAATTAGATAACATAAAAGATGTCTTACTATCCTCATTAATTGATCATTTATAAGATAACTAACTATATTATTTCAAAAGTAGTATTTATAGTGCTTTAATATTTTGAGGGGAAAGTTTTTTGTTTTTAATATTAACACAAAATTTTGCACTTTACTTAAAAAATTTCCTTAAAATATAGGGAGAAAATATTATATTTTTTTAGATTTTATAAATAATTTAAGCCGAGTTTTTCATTAAGATCATCCACCAAAGTTTTTCATTTGACTTTATTACATTTTTATTTTTAAATTTTTCCCTATTACTATTTTTTTAAAAAAATAATCAATTTTTATTTACATAAAATTATTATAAGAATATATATATTATAATTAATTAAAAGTATCGACTATTCTCAAAAGGTTGAAATATTTTAAGTAAATTTTTTATCAGATAAAAGGAAATTCCCTAGTCTCAAGTGAAACGCCTGATTTTGAGGCCTAAGAATGGCAGAGAATTTTGTATTTTTTAATTTGGCTTGGGTCAATAATTTCATGTTTGCGTTAAAGTACAGTTGGGTAACTAATATTTTAAGCCTCAACAACTTTGGTCTTAAGGTTTTTCTTAAAAATATAGCAGTTCATATTTGAACTTATGATTTAAAAAGCCTTAAAGTTAGCAGATTTTATATGCCTTTGTAGATTGAGCCGAATTAGCCGTTAACCATTACCAAACTATAGCTACAAGGAAATGGTGAGACACAAGTAAAATCCGATATTAAAGATTTACTGAGAGCTCAAGGAATTGCCATTCATTAGTTCATAATCCCTCTCGGGAAATAGATATGTGGGCTCAAGATAGTGTTGTTAAACGGCTCATTTTGAGCCGATTTTAAAAAACGGCTAACTCGATATTGTAACCAAAAAAATATTGCCTAAGCCTCTAGATTTCGCTAATAGCTGTTCAGACCTTTATTCCTTCTACAAACAAAATCTTCAGGCTTGCGTAATATTATTCAAGATGAAATATTGAGTTAGCAGTTTTTAAAAATCGGCTCAAAACGAGCCGTTTAACCACACTAGCTCAGGATAGTTAGATATGTGAGCGGCTGTTAATTATTTATTGATGACAAAATTTATTACAATGTGTCATTGATGCCTCCCTTACCTATATAAAAAAATCAGGTTATATCTGCCTGAATCTATTGGAGTATTAAATTAAACACAAGTGTTAAACGATTCCTGCGTAAACCGGTGGCGACTCAATTATCTGATTAGAGATTACCAAAGTTACGATGGGGATTGCTTTCTGATTATTCATGACCACCAAATCTGTGTTACTATACTATTGGAGAAGTTGGATACAGTTTAAAGGTAAATAGTGTTAGGGCTGCAAAAAGGTTCATGTTAATTGATGGGAATGGAGTGTTTGAAAGTATGTTGACCTCCCATGATTTGCTGTGTCACTCCATAAATGGTCGGTGTGGCATATGAAGTCTTAGTAATAATTCAATATTTAAAATTTATTCAACGAATATATTGAATCTGTCTTGAAGTCGTGAAATTGTTGTTTGCGAAGAATGTCAATAACGGAATATATTTAAAATTTTTGAAATGTATCGACTTTTGCGATTAAAAATAGACACTAATGAGCTAGTAAAAGAGATAATATACATTTAAGATTGTTAATATAATTAATACTGGATCAATCAAGGTATATTTATATTCTCTAATATTATAATTTATTTTATAAAGAATATATCTCAATAATACTTATTTCTTCAGATGAAGTTAATTTCGCTATGCCTTGGGTCCCAGTATGAAATATTTTCTATTGTACCCTAATTAAAATTTATCAACCTCCATGACCAGCAGCTCAAATCTAAAAAAATATAGGAAGGTAAAAATTGAATTCTGATAAAGATAAAGAAAATTGATGAGGATCTGAATGAAGATTTTTGTAAAGATGATCCTAGTTTTTTGAAAATAAAGACCATTCTTTAAATATTTTTAATAAATTTCCGCAATTAAAATTTATTAAATAAAATACAACCCTCTCATCTCCGCGTCAGTTACAATTTTATTAAAAAATAGATATCTAAAGCACGTTTTGATATAATTTTAGCCTTAATTTAATTCAAAAAGTGACAATTGTCATAATCTTCATCTATGCTTTTTAATTTTCTTTTACCAAAAACTCATCTTTTAAAAGGGTATTTGTATAATTTTTGTTATGATGTAAATAAAATTGCTCTTAAATTAAAATATTTTAAAATTTGCTTTTTAAAAAGTAGATTTAAGCTCGCCTTATACACAGCAATTATTAATAATCTAATCAAAATATACTCTTATTAGCTATCATTTACATATCTACAAATATTTTATCTGAAAAAGTGTAAAAAATTGACTCCAAGATACATTTTTGATAAAATGTTTTAATTCTCCCACCCCATCTCTCATGATCGATACTCAACAAACAATATTTTTTTAATTAGCCTTCATTCATATTAATACCTATGTCGAGATATTATATTATAAAACGTTTTCAAATATAATATCCCCACCCCCTCCTCGTTTTTTTTAAATCCTTGCTCAGAAGATTACTGATTAATTAGGTAATTTACTTTCATTTAATACCCACATTGAGCTTTTATGTTATAAAATTTTTTTTAACAACCCTGAATTTACGGTCTAAATTGGCCCACCAAAAAAATAATTTAAAGTAAACAAATAAAAAATAGGCACTTAAATTAAAAACACGCATAAGGAAAGAAAGTAAATAACAAACAATTTTTGAAAATTTAGTATTTCTTTTAAGAGCGAACAAATTTTTATGATTTTAAGCTTTCTATATATTTTAATTGAGCAATTAAAAAAAAATTATGAGCGAAATCGAAATTTTATCATTTCATATTTTTTTTGAATTATGTGCAAAATACAAAGATTAATCCATCAGCTTCTTTAATAATAAAAAGAATAAATATTTTTATATAATGTTAAATAAAATATTAAGAACAGTTGTATACACGTTTTACCATTATGAATATCATCGGGGTTATTTTCAGGTACAAACGCTGATCAAGGTGATATAAAGTGTTAATTTAAGTAATAAGCAATAAGTTCTAACATAAAAATCTACATGGAAAATATCTTTGATGAGCCAAGTTTTACTTAAAAGTAGACAAGGCAAAAATATAACGTTTTTAAGATTTTCCTATCCTTCACTAATGAATTTTATATCTTGAATGTTGATTTTCATCTTTTTAAGAAAAAATTCAATATTTTATGGTTTCGACTTGGAAAGTAAAACCCAAACTATTATACACTTTTCTCTCCTCTATAAAAGCCTGAGAAAAGAGGAAACCAATATTGATTATGAAAAGAATATTAGAGACATTTCTTTAATATTCTATAACAATCTATTGGGAGACATTGAATGATAGTCATAATATTCAAAATTTGTTATTAGATATTTGACCCCCACATCCTAATTTATTATGTTTCTCAAATCAGGTTTGGTTCATACATAATATTTTTAACATTTCGTTTATATAAAATATTTTAAAAAATTTACTATAATAATGATATGCCATTTTTTGTTGCTTATTAATATTTTTAATTGTTTAGAGTAAAAATTTAATTATAAAATTTAAAATTCATTTAAGGATGATTGTTCAATTTTAGTTAAAATTAACGCTTATTTTTGATTGAATCATTTGTCATAAATGATACAAATTTATTTTATATAGTAAAATGGAGCGTGATTGACACGGCAACTTTTGCTTAATGATAAACTTATGGACATGCATTCTACTTTACATATTATTTCGCTACACGTATCCCGATGTCCCTATGATGCTAAGAGATATACCTTTAAAAACGCCGCCAGATAATTTTGACCCAAATTTTCCGCAAATAAATTCAGACCCTACTACCAATTTGGAAATGGAGTGGAACACGGCCGATTTCGGCACAAAGAATCGCATCAGAGCTCTATTTCGGGATTATTACACTGGGTATTTAAATAAATATTTTAATTGTTTTATCTATAAATCAGAGACCTTGAGTGAATTTTCTGCTTTCCTCTTCCGCTTCAACTCCAGCCAAAAAGTCTTCCGTTATGTTCCGATTTTATATAGGAAAGACCAAATTTATTTCAATTTTATTAACAAACACGTGTTATCCATAAATAGTAATTTAAAATTAACGATTAACAGAAGGGTAAATTTATAGTAAGCATGATGATTCGATTTAACAGTTGATTGTATTTATAAATTTATGCAGTAGTCACTTTTTCATTAGTAATATAATATTCACTCTCATGCAAATTTCATAATGCCTTAAAGTCCTAGAATTTTCCAAAAATGTTAATAATTTTTTATAAATAAGATCTTTCAAAAAAAGTAGTGCAGATATTTTACCAATATGACTTGATATGATATACATTTATTTTTTTGTAAGGCAGAGAATATTATTACATGTGGCATATTTCCACACAAGGCAAACATGATATTGAGGTGTTGCAGCAGTGACATTTTAGCTTTTCCGATCTAACAAACCAAATTACAAAAATATGGGAAGC